ATGATGGTGCAGAGTGGGAAAATGGGTTAAAAGAGGCTTTCAAAAGAAAAAAATTTTTTTTTGTTGAAGTCTTACTCTGTGATTAGATAACTTGGCAGATATCTAATCAATCAATCAGGGGATCAATCCTATTTATTAATTGATTATGTAATTTTTTACAATATATTCACTAAATAAAGGAGCGCTCTGTCCTGTTGTAGGTTTCTAATTTACGTCTTGTAAACTAGAAACATTGCCGCCAGAGGGAGAGAGACTGCAGATGGAAGGACACACTATAGTTTGCAAACAGATCGCTTATGTAACATGATCACCTTCACCAAGTCCAGGAATAAAAAAGCGGAAGGAGATTCAAATGAAAGTCAAGAATGTCCTTTATCTCTGAAAGGAAGCAGGAAAAAGTGACTAAAGTAAGACACTAGTGAGAATGAAAAGACATGGCCTTCGATTTGAAATCATAGCAAGATAACAGGTTTTCTGGGAATCTATTTCAGGGCAACAGCAAAAACTGCTGCCCTCGAAAATCAGTCAGAGCTGGAAGACCTCCATGCCCCGAATCAGGTCAACTGCTCAGCATCCATTTACTACCCCAGCCATACCCGAGCCCTAACTCCCTATCACTTGGTGATTCTTTGGTACCAGTTCCCTGCCTCCTGTTTTACAGTGGTGAATCTGATGCCTTCTCCACTTTCCTCTTGGCATCTTGTATCCAGACCTGACAACAGATCCTTCACTGGCGCTGGAGCTCTGCCTGTGGGTCTGGCCCAAATCTTATGCTTGGTTCCTGCAAGTCCTCAGTTCTGCATGAGCTGTGTTCCAAAAAGGAAACAATATTCTGCCATGAGCAAGGCCTGGCCTCTGAAGACAGCACCTGGTTCTTTCCAATTGCAAAGGCTACTCTTAATGGTAGTAGTGAGCTAGAGACCTTGAATATGGCCTGCCTGTTTTCCCAAAGCCCCCAGCCTGGCTGGAAAATTAAATGACGAGAATTAACTAAGCCTGACTCTAACTGAGGCACACACCCAGGGGAGGGGGACTGAGTTCTTACTAGAAATATTTGCAAGGAGCTCTCTCATCCCAGCCAAAACCTGGGACAAGAGGCAGAAGGAGTTTGCATGTTTCTGTCTGTTAGACACGCCCAGTTTCCTTGGCTTATATGCAACTGCCTATTCCTGGTTTTCTTCCTACCTCCCTGGATACCCCTGCTTAACCTCCTTTGTACCTCCTTTACCCAGCTTGGCCCTATGCCTTTTTCATTCATCACTATCAACTCTCTCTAGGAAATCTCCTCCGATTCACAGCTCCAATATGCTGAAAACTTACAAATTTATACAGTATCTCCAATCTAGACTTCCTCTTGAAGGCTTCCTCTTCCAGACCCCCATCTATTTGAGCTCTCCTTGGATATCTCAAAAATTCCTGAAATTCAACATATTCAAAACTGAACTCCCCATTCCCCCCCAAGCCTGCGTGTCCTTTAGCATCCCCTACCTCAGTAAATGACATCAGCATTTCTCCAGCTCCAAAGCCAGGGACCTAGGACCCATCTGGACACCTCTGTCTCCCTCACTTCCCATATTGAGTGTATTACCAAGTCCTTCAGAACTTTTGAATCTGCTTCCTTCCATCTTCACTACTACTAATAAAGTCGAGAGACGTAGGTTAATGTAAAAAAAAGTAAGAGTTAATAATTATCAAAAGTTTATTATATAGCAGGCAGGCACTCTTTTAAAACTTTATATAAAATATCTCTTCTAATCACCCTAAGTATTAGTTTCATAAAATTGATGTAACAAATTACCACAAACTAAATAGCTTAAAAATAAAAGGAATTGATTCTCTCATAGTTTTGAAGGCTAAAATTCTGAAATCAAGGCGTCAGCAAGGCCACGTTCCTTCCCAGGGCTCTCGGGAAGGATCCTTCCTGGCTCCTTCCAGCTTCTGGTGGCTGCAGGCATTTCTTGACTTGTGGCTGCATAACTCCAGTCTCTCCCTCCATCATTACATGGCCTTCTCTGTGTGTAGGTGCCTTCTTGTCTTCTGTCTGTTTCAAATCTCCTTCTGCCTTTTTCTTATCAGGACCCTTGTCACTGGATTTGGAGCCCACCCAGATAATCCAGGATGATCACCTCATATCAATATCCTTAAATTAGGGGCTGGCCAGGTGCGCAGGGTTTAAGTTCGCACACTCCACTTTGGAGGCCCGGGGTTTGCCAGTTCATATCCCAGGTGCAGACATGGCACCGCTTGGCAAAAGCCACGCTGTGGTAGGCATCCCACGTATAAAGTAGAGGAAGATGGGCATGGATATTAGCTCAGGGCCAGTCTTCCTCAGCAAAAAGAGGAGGACTGGCAGTAGTTAGCTCAGGGCTAATCTACCTCAAAAAAAAAAAGATCCTTAAATTAATTACTCTGCAAAGACCCTTTTTCTAAATAAGGTGAGATTCACAGGTTCCAGGGACTACACCCTAAAAAGTAAGTTATTAGTCCCACTGAATAAATGAGGCCACTGAGACTTAGAAAGTTTAAGGGACTTGCCCAAGATCACGCAGTTAATACGAACATGAGGTTCACATTTGCTTTATGGCTCCCTTATCTCTAGAAAAACAATTTCAATACTTTTCTTAAAGGAGTAATTGTTTCAAGAAATCTGTCCCTTGGACGCCAAATATTGTTTCCTCAACTCATTCATTACTAGAATATTCTACACCACTAGTGTTGTCTTCCAGAATTATAGATCAGATCCAGAGCCTGGCATGATGCCTGTAGTATAGAAGGTGCTCAATAAACAACTGTAAATAAATTAATGAGATCAAGCCGCTAGCCTCATCAAAAGTCATCAAAAATTTCCACATTGCTCAAAAAATGAGCCTTACACTCTTCAACAAAGCATTCAAGACCCTCCACCCTCCAAAGATTAAAAAAACAATCTTGTAATGAATGTAGCCTTTATAAGAATGTCCAGAAGTCATGCAAGAAGAGATTGATAAATTTGGCCACATACATATCTAAAAGTTCAGCATGGAAAAATTTCGTAAACAAGGTCAAAAAACAAAGGCCTGAAAAAAAATTCACAACACATATTACACATATGCCTAATTTCCTAAAGACATAAACAGCTCTTGAGGAAGCAGGCACCTTCATTCATTGTTATAGGACCGTAAACTGGTGAAGCTTCTTTGACAGGAAGTTTAGAAATAAAAATAAAAACATAATTCATCTCTCTGACCCAGCATTTCCACCTCTAGGAATTAATTCTATAGATCATCTCTTCTTTTGACACAAAGCTATTCACCACACCCTTTGCAATAAAAACTGATTGGAAATAACCCAAATGCCCACCAATAGGAGATGGTTAAATCCATTATGGGACAACTATACCACAGGATACCATGTGGCCCTTTTAAAATGAGGCATGTCTATGCACATTAGTATGGAAGACGCTAACTCAACATGAAGAACAGTGTGCATGAAACGCTACCAATTTGTAAACAACAAAAAGGAGACATATGTATATGCTATGAATACATGTGAATAATTTTGGAAGGATAAACCAGAAACTTGTAACTATATTTGCTTTTGAGAAAAGAAATGTGAGACTAACTATAGGGGTGGAAGAAAGATTTATTTTTCATTGTAAACTCCATTGTATTGTTTGAATTTCTTTTGCCATGTGCTTGCATTGTCCATTAAAGAGAGAGAAAATCTATAAGCTAGTTTTCACCTAATTTTCCAACCTGATCTCATAGTGTATCTTATCTTGCACCTGACAATTCATTGATTCTGAAACATGCTATGTTCATGCTGAGGGTGTATGGGTGTGTGTGTATCTAATGTTCTATCATGCTTTACTCTCACACTTTCTGCCTGTAGAAATCCTGTCCCTCAAAAGCTTTTCTGTGCAACCTCCCTGATCTTCAGTGTTGGAACCAACCACTCTTAGCTCTGCGCTCAGAAAACATACGTTCATCCTGCTTTGAATTATAGTTATGTTTACAAGTTGGTCACCCTCATTAAATTAGCTCCTAGAGGAAAGTGTGCATCTTGTTGACCCTGAAGTAATTGGAAAACAGTTTGCTTAGTGCATGTTATTAAGAAATATTAAGCAGGAGAGTCATCTAGGAAAATCTAAGTTTCCTATGATGACCCAATTTTAAGGGTGATAGAGAAAAGTATCTGGCCAAAATCCAGGAATCTTACTTAGCATGAATATCTAAAGAGAAAAGAAGAGATTCTAAGATCTTTATTTTCAAATAAGAAAATGAAACCAATGCCGTATATCAAACAGGATCATCACAAGAGATGCATGTGAAATGAAATAGGAAGCTACACTTGAAATATAGTAGAGAAGAGAAAAGAATGAAAGAAAAATGATTTCAGTTATAATATAGAAAAGATAGCTCTTGACATTTTTTTGTTTGTTTTTTGGTCAAACATATCAAGCCTGGTCACAAAATAGGGAGACACTGATTTTTATCATGAACCAGGCTACTTCTCAGATTGGGACTAACAATGCCCTCCCCCGGTGATGCCTTCTTCCTCACCACCTCACCTCCTCACCCCAACACTAAAGGTCCATGACAATGCAATTCACTCTGTTGCTTAAAAATCACAATCTTTTCTAAGCAAATTTTCTCAAATCATGTTATAAGTTTACTGTAATTTTTTTTTTACTATTTACTTTTGCTGTCATTTAAACCCATTTCCTCTTGTCCCTGGTTATATGGTGGTGTACAGGGTCACATTACTCCACATATTTAACTTTCATATACCCTAAAGCATTTCATGGTAATTGACTACATACTACCTTCCACCAACAGTTAAACCAATGTTTTTTAAGCTTCTAGAATACTGCTATTTTCTTTTAGTCTCTATACATAGGTACACTGACATCAGGCCCACCCCATTTCTTCTGGCCTTATAACAAGATACAATAAAGTAAAATAAAGATAATAAGACAAAAATTTTAAAATGGAGATGATTAAAAGTTTACTTCAACTTACTGTTAATGCTGTTTCATATTCTCCAGCAGCCAGGTGTGCTAAGCCCAAGTAATAGGAAGCTTCTCCTTCCATCTTCCTGTCATTTCCTAAAGTGAAAATGTAGAAAAATTACTATGGCATTAAAGACATTGATTTATTACAACAAACAGAATATTTGCTTTTTAAGAGAGTAGAAAGTTATTATAACAAAGTATACAGATTTATCAAAAATCTCTGAAACCTAACTGTACTGATAAAAAAAAAAAAGGCCGACGTTAATACAATTTACCTGGATCACACGTGTTGGAGTAAGGTACATTAGCAGTATAAATACGAGGATTTTAGCTCTACATACACAGCCCAGTATTATTATCTTGACATTCATATATGATTTCTGTACTGGTCCAACATATAAAGACCTACAGCTATTCAGCACAGTTGCTACTGCGTACAGGAAATATTTGTAAAAGTATTAACCTTACGTGGTGCACAAACACACATACACAAACAGACTGACGTTCAGCTAAGTATCTAACAGGGAAGATAATTAACAAATTAAGAAATTGCTGTTTTGACAAGGTTCAATTTAAAAGTTATTGGTTAAAACTTGGGTGAGGATGATGGACGAGCCTGGGCTCTTGGTACAAAATTCCAGGCATATTTTGAAATCCAAACATTTTGCTTTGCTAATGACTGGTGATGCTTCTCAACATCTCAAGGAATTTAGCCTTTCTAATTTCTGTGTAATGTGTTTTATTCCAGGAATTATCGAATTCTTTTTTCCAAAAGCAAAATGTGGACACGTGTAACATGTGGTTCAATAAGACACACATCATACCATCTAATAAATGCATGATTTACTTACATTTGATATACTAAACATGACATAAATCTAATATGCTTACAAGAATAATTAAAGGTTCTTATTTTTGAAAAGAATACTATCCTATTCATACTTTGTAATTCTTTGACTTTCAATGTTACCTAACTCCTGGGAAATGCAGATGCTGACAGAACCACCCTCATTTTTGATCTTTGGAAAGTAAGCATCTCTAGATTTCTGAACTCTGCTTTTCAACCATGATGGATTTCAGCAGGAGTTAGCAGTTCTCTCTGCTGCATTCATTGTCACCACTCTCTGAATGACCACTCATGAAGCAGTGGCTCAATTGGAAGGCTGCAAGAAAACAGGATGCCAAATGCCAGTGACAGTATTTTTTTTTCTTCTCTAGCAATTTCACCAGTTACAGAGAATTATACCCTCAAGATCTCACTTCAGCAGAGTTGTAGGTGCCAGGGATCCAGGCTGGGGAATTTTATCTCTGATAATTCAGCTGATCCTAACTTTTTCTCTGCTTTAGGTTTTGAGTGCTGGGGATAGGACTGGGATAGGGAAGAGAAAGATGGGGTAGAAGAAAGAGGCTGTGAAAGGAAGTTGCCTCTTGGATAATTAAAAGTTGGTTATACGTGATTTGTACCTGCTGTGTTAAATTGTGCAGCCATGGTAAAGCACTAGCAACGGCATGCGCTAACTCATTACTTGCCTCTAATTTTATGTAAAGGACATCCCAGCAAAGAGGAGGAGAGAAAGAAAAATCTAGCCTTGCTGATAGAAAGATATTGAGGCAGCTAATTGAAAGAGTCAGGTCACACCAAATACTAGTTCTAAAACAGGGTTTAAGCATAAGAACTTTTCCAGCTTAACAATTGAGACAAAGTTAGGATAAAGTGAAAGCAACAAAATAATGGAGAAAAATATCAGCATTATTAAAGCTGAGCAACACATATACTAAAAAAAGGGCAAAATGCTACTTATATTGGGTAGTTTATTTGAGTGGGTTAAATTAATATTGACTTTGCCATCCAAATCAATAGTCATTCATCTTAAAGAAAATACTATGATTTTATTTTCAAGACCTAAATTATCCATTCTTATGCTAGTATGTCTGCTAGACAGTGTAGAGAGGGGATCATCACAGGTGGCAGGGATAATAGATATAGACAACGTACTTGGGAGCAACTCAAATGCTTCATTAAAATGTACCCTAAAACTTTTATTTGTTATTTGGCTAACATATGTTCATTCATTCATTTATTCAATGAATGTTTATTGAGGACCTATTCTGTGCCAGGCACAGCTCTAAGCACTTGGAATGCATTAGTAAATTAACCAGACAAATTCCCAGTCCTTGGGGAGCTTACATTTTAGAGGATAGAGACAGAAAGAGACACAAAATAAACAATAAACATAATAAATTATGTGGTAAGTTGTATAGTGATAAGTACTCTGGAGAAAAAATAGAGCAGGGTAAGGGGAATTGGGAGTGCTAAGGGGGGGTACAGAGAAAAAAAGCAGGTTTCAGTATTAAATATGTTTGTCAAGGTGGTAGATCCCACTAGAAGATGGTAGTCACAAGATAATGAAATTAGAAAGAGATAACATAAAAATTGAGAAACTCACAACTATGTGGAAATTAAACACACTCCTAAATAACCAGTGGATCAAAGAAATCAGAAGGTAAACTAGAAAACACTTTGAGATGAATGAAAACAAACATACAACAACCCCAAATTTATGGGATCCAGCTAAAGTAGAGCATAAAGGGACATGTATAGCTATAAACGGCTGTTTTAAAAAATAAGGAACATCTTTCCACCTTATAAAACTAGAAGAAGAAGAGCTAACTAAACCCAAAGCAAAGAGAAGGAAGAAAATAAAGACTAATGGAAACAAATAATAAAGATTAGAGTGGAAATAAATGAAACAGAGAACAGAAAAACAATAGAGAAAATAAACAAAACCATAAGTTGTTTCATTGAAAAGGTCAACAAAATTGACAAACCTTTACCTAGACTGAACAAGGAAAAAAAAGAGAGAACTCTCAAGTTACTAAAATCAGGAAAGAAAGAGGGGAAATCACTACAGACCTTGCAGAAATAAAAAGGATTAAAAGGTAATATTATGGACAATTATATACCAACAAATTAGATAAACTAGATGAAATGGACAGATTGCTAGAAAGACAAACTGCTAAAATCAACTCAAGAAATAGAAAATCTGGATAGATCCCCAACAAGGAAAGAAATTGAATTAGTAATCAAAATGCTTCCCACGAAGACAAGCCCAGGCCCAGAGGGCTTCACTGGTGAATTCTACCAAATATCTAAAGAATAATCATCACCAATACTTCAGAAACTCTTCCAAAAATTAGGAGAAAACACTTCCCAAATCATCCTATCAGGTTAGTATTATTTTGACATCAAACCGGACAAAGGCATCACTAGAAAAGAAAACTACAAGCCAATATTCCTTATGAATATAGACAGAAAAAAACTCAGTAAAATATTAGCAAAGTGAATCCAGCAGCATATGAAAAAGGCTATACACCATGATCAAGTGGGTTTATTCCTGGAATGCGAGGTTGGTTCAGCATGTGCAAATCAATCAATGTAATATACCATATTAAGAGAAGGGACAAAACACCACATGATCATCTCAATAGATGCACAAAAAGCACTTAACAAAATCCAATCCATATCCATGATAAAAATCCGCAACAAATTGAAATAGAAGGGAATTTACTCCATCTGTTAAAGAGTATCTAAAAAAAACCCATAATATGTTATACTTAATGGAGAAAGACTGAAAGTTTTCACCCTAAGATCAAGAAGAAGACAAAGATGTACCCTGGCACCAATTCTATTTAACATTGTACTGCAGGTTCTAGCCAGTACAACTAGGCGAGAAAAAGAAAAGGCACTGTAGGGGAAGCAAACTTTTACCTCTATCTTTGGGTTTTTCAGCTGGCCTGAGAATTAAATTGCCATAAGACAGATTAATAGGAGAAAAGCACACAAATTTACACAAGTTTTAGGTGACACAGGAGCCTTCACAAGGAAAGAAGAGCTAAAGAAATTGCCAAACCTCCGTGCTTTAACATTGGGTTGAACAAAGCGAGACAATTGTGAAAAAGTAACTAAACAACACAGGAAAGTTAAATGAAAATAGGAATATTTTGACAAGATCTGTTTGTACAGAATTTTCTTAGGGTTTTTTTTCTTCCTTCTTCTCCCTAAAGCCCTCCAGTACATAGTCGTATATTTTTAGTTATGGGTCCTTCTAGTTGTGGCATGTGGGACTCTACCTCAGCATGGCTTGATGAGCAGTGCTAGGTCTGCACCCAGGGTCCGAACTGGCAAAACTCTGGTTTGCCAAAACGAAGCATGCAAACCTAACCATTGGGTCACGGGGCCAGCCCCCAGAATTTTCTTAGTGTTGACTCCCCATCAAAGAATGTTTCTTTTTTCGTTGTACAGAGAGGGCATCTTTTCACATGGCAGTATTTATCTCCTGTTTTCAGGATGAAAAAGGGAGATTAGAATGTCCTTCTTGCATCTGTTGTTTTTCAAGTGCCTTTAGCTCAAAAGACTCCTTATGTCAAAGTGGTTTTTAGGCTGGCATCTTCTATCACTCTTCAGCATCCAGATCAGAAAGGAAGACGTAAAACTATAAGTGCAGATGACATAATATCAGATACAGAAAATCCTAAAGAATCTGCAAAATCCATGAAAGTTAATAAATAAGTTTAGCAAGGTTGCAGGACACAAGATCAAAATACAAAAGTCAATTTCTACACACAAACAATGAACAATCTGAAAATGAAAGAAAAATTCCAATAGCATCAAAAAGAATAGAATAGCAGACATAAATTTAACAAAAGAAGGGCAAAATGTGTCCACTGGCAATTACAAAACATCATTGAAAGAAATTATATAATAAGTAAATAAATAGACAGTAACCCATATTCATGGATTGGAAGACTTAGTTTAAGATAGCTATATTTTCCAAATATATATATCTGACAGATTCATTGCAATCCCTATGAAAATCCCAGCTGTCCTTTTGGCAGAAATGGATACACTTTCCTAAAATTCTTGTGTAAATTAAAACAACACAGAATAGCCAAAGCAATCTTGAAAAAGAACAATATTGAAGACGCTTTTCCCAACTTCAAAACTTACTACAAAACTACAATAATCAAGACTATGTAGTAGTGGAAGAAGGATAGATATGTAGATCACCTCAATAGAATTGAGTGTCCAGAAAACAACCCTCACGTTTACAGACAATTAATTCTTGACAAGGGTCTAAAGACATTTTATTGGAGAAAGACAGTGTTTTCAACAAATGGTACTGGGACAACTGGATATTCACACACAAGGCATGAAGTTGGATCCTTCTCACACCACACACACACGCACACACACGCACACACATACACACACACTTAAAAATAAATCATAGACCTAAATATAGGAGTTAAAATGATAAAAAATTTAGAATAAAATGTACCAGTAAATATTTGTGACCTTGGATTAGTGGAAGCCTTCTTAGTTATAATACCCAAAACATAAACAGCAAAAGAAAAAGTAGATTATTTTGGACTTCACCAAAATAAAAAACTTATTCCTCAATAGATATCATCAGAAAGTGAAAAGAAAGCTCAATATTTTCAAATCATTTATCTGATGAAGGACTTGAATCTAGAATATATAAATGATACTTAACAACTCAATAAAAAAAAAGACAATTAAAAATGAGCAAAGAATCTGAACAGAGATTTCTGCAAAGAAGATATACAAATGACCAATAAGCACATGAAAAGATGCTCAAATCATTAGTAAACAGGGAAATGCAAATTAAATCCACAGTGAAATACCACTTTATACCTACTAAGATGACTGTAATCAAAAAGATAGACAGTAACAAGTGCTGGGGAGGAAATGGCTAAATTGATACCCTTACATATTGCTGGTGGGAATGTAAAATGGCACATCAACTTTGGAAAACTCTTTGCCAGCTTCTCAATAAGTTAAACACAAGAGTTATCATATAACCCAGTAATTCCACTTGTAGGTATGTAAACAAAAAAAACTTGTACACAAACATTCATAGTAGCCTTATTCATAATAGACAAAATGTGAGAAGAACATAAATATCCATTAACTGATGAATGGGTAAAGAAAATGTGATACAACCATAAAATGGAGTATTATTCAGCCATAAAAAGGAATGAAGTAGTGATATATGCTACAAGATGGATGAACCATGAAAATATTATGCAAAGTGAAAGAAGCTGGACACAAAAGGACACACGATGTATGATTCCATTTATATAGAACAGGTAAAGCCATAGAGACAGAAAGTTGATAAATGGTTGCTAGGGGATAGGGGAAGGTTGGTATGGGAGGTGACTTCTAGTGAGTATGGGGTGACTGTTGGTGGTTGCACGACTTTGTGAATATACTAAAGACCAATGAATGATGAAAATAACAGAATCATAAGACCATTGCATGTCTCATGCTATACTTGTGCATTACACCAAGGTGCCCTGACTAAGGAGCTGGTCCACAGTGGATGCCAGTACTGCTTAAATATTACACAGACCAATGTGGAAGGCATGCCTTATCCAGGCAACCATCAGTTTGCTGCTTCAGGCTCCCTAACCAAAGTAGGAGATGAGAGGAAGAAGCTGCTGTCAGAGCTCTGTAAAATATTGTGCAACCCCTTAACCTATCTACCTTCTTATCTGGAAAATATGGGGACAAATGTTTATCAGTCTTAAAAGATAATGAAAAATTATTACAGCATAAGAACTAAGGTTTCTCTTGTTCTCCTTATCTGTGCTTTGGAAAGTAAGAGATGCTCTCAGAAAGGAGACTGCCCGGCAGGCTCCAACTGTTGGAAGAGATCCTGGGAACCTTCCTTTCTTTGTGAACTACCTTACAATTGAGCAAATGTGAACCTAAAGTAAAATACCTTCTCCTAATTATACATGATTTTACATTGAAATTCCACATAACTTTTCATGTGACTAAAGTTAGCTGCTGAAATTGATCTAAGAGCTAACTATTTATGTCCGTGTTTACCCCTTTGGGAAGGTACTAGATCACCATTCATTCAACAGCAGTTCATTCTGTGGGCTACATTTTTCAATGGGGGTGATTTCCTGTGGCTACTCCAACTAATATTACTAAAAGAAGTAACAGAGAGAATAAGCTGTTTACTTTCACTCTTTAGAAAATTAAAATCACACCCAGAAGATCAGTCTTTCTTACCCCAAATAAGCCATCTGTTACTCAATAAACCAATTAATTAAATATATCCATGGGCCAATAAACCTCAGTTCAAGAGCATAATTTCTATCTTTTTCTTCTTCATGAAAAGTCTACTCTATTAATAAATTATTATATGGTAATAAAATATCCTTGCTTCTCACAAAGTAAAAGCTTATGAGTATGTTACAAATTTTTTCTTTATAGTTTGTACATATGCAAATGATATGGAATATTAAGGACATGATCAGCTCTCACAAAAGCATTTTTACTGCTGTCAGGGTGCACACAAATCACCTGGGGATCTTGCTAACCTGCAGGATCTGAGGCAGAGGTCTCGGGGGTGGGACCCAAGATGCTGCTTTTCTCACAAGCTTCCTGGTGATGCTGATGCTCCCAGTCCAAAGGTCACACTTTGACAGGCAAGGGTCTAAAATATATTAAGGTTCTACTTTCCTGTTACTCCTAACTAAATATTTATCATATCTTCCCTATGACCCGACAATAGGGAATTTACAAACAATGAAAGATCTCTCAGATTGTAAGAAATATATGACCTTAAACATACACACATATACCCACACACAACACAACACACACACCCTTAACTTTTGCAAATGTCCATACCTTCTCATTATAGGTTCATTCTTTTATAACACTGCTCCCAGAGGGTTGTAATTTTGGAGATAAAGGTTTTCAGGAAACTAATGCATTTCTTGTTGTCAGCACTAAGGCACCTCTGTTTTACAGTGAAATTTGAAAGTATATTGATGGCATTTGTCTTTGCATTTCATAGGAAATAATCACCCAAACACTTGAAGATTTTTACTCCACTCTTGGGAGAAGCAGTGTCTGCCCATTAAAAGAAGCAATGTGAGAGAGTTTTTTTCCACCCACCTTCTTTGGCTATTTCAGCAGCTTTTATTAGAATTCTGATGGCCTGTTTGTATTTTTTATTTTCCAGCATCTTGTCTGAGAGTAATCTGTAAGTCCTCAGGAGACTCTCACAGGCCAACAAGTTGAGAAAGCGGCCTGTCTCATCTTTCCACATCCGCCCATGCGTCAATTGATGGAATACTTCATAATGCTCAGCAGCTTCCAGAAGCTGACCTGAAGAATAAAAGCCATTCATAAATATAAACCACAGGCCAGAACATATTTTCAAAAATTTTGCATACATTATATGTTTTACTATTAAAGGGGGGAAAGCCACAAAATACAGTCAAGGATTTCTAAGAATGAAGAGGATTAAGCTGGGAAAGGAGCTCTCTCCATCTGGACCTCAGATTCAGCACTGATGTTGGATGGACACCTGCTAAACGGACATACTTCGGCTAGTAGAAACTGACCAGGATTATGTACGTTTAGAGACAGTCTGAAAATCCAGTAGTAATTATTAATAACCATATTAGCTAGCATTTATTTAATATTATGTATGCAACACACCAGCGCTATGAGTTTTATATGCATTCCTCATTTAATCTTCAAAGCAGTCCTATGGAATAGGAATTGTTATGATTCCATTTTACAGAAGAGAACGTGAGCTTAAGCATTTTGCCCAGATTGCATGTCTAGTGGGTGAGTAGATCCAGGAGCCCATGCACTCACCACTATCCTGCACAGCTTTCTCAGTAGCCAGCCAGTCCTCACTCTCAAGAAGAATTCAGGTATCTTGAGAAAGGATTTTTTTTTTTTTTTTACAAATTTCAAATTCAAATATTATGGAGCTTTAAAATACTTCTCAAAGTTTGACTGAGTTTCCAAGCAGGCACTTCTAGACTCTGTTTAATTTTGAATAATTAAAATGTAACTTAACTGCATTTCTGGATTATATTTTACAATATAGTCCAAAATACATCTTCACAGAGCCAAAACTCTAAATTAGCTCTAAGTCATTTCATTCCTTGAAATATGAGCAAGCACACTGCTGGAAGAGTGGTTTGCAGCTCCATGCTGTGGCTTGTGTTTCACTTGTGAATTGCCTTGTGGAAACGTTCACAATATCCTGTAATGTAAGTACTCTTTTATGGTATTGAAGTTACCTAATTGGAATTAACTGACAAAGCACTTATACCCAGGCATTCCAACAGCAGTGGTTAAGAGTGAGTGCAGACTCCACGCAGACAGCCTGAGTTCCTAGCCCAGCTTTACCCTCTTTGCTGTTTAGCCTCAGGCTAATTACTACCCTCTCTGTACCTGAATTTAATTCTTCTGCAAAATAGGATTATAGTGTAACTATTTAAGGAGTTATTGTGAGAAATGAATTAATATACGTTCAATGTCTGATACGGAGTAGGTGCTCAATAAACATAGCTACTGTTACCAGTTGGCATAGTGATAATATTTTTCAAAAGTCCAACAGGCCAATTGAAACATAGCCACAAATTTGGGTTTTTAAAAATTGAAGTATAACTTACTCTTTCCGCAGAAAACCCATAATTGAGTCCTTATAATAGTATTATCATGACTGATTAAATTAATCTATGCAGGTTGTATCACACTCAATGTATTTCCACAAGTAGGTTTCACTGGATATTACAGGTTGGATATTATAGGATATTGTAGCCACTGCCATGACTACTGCATATAATTTCCCACTATTTTTGCATTGAATTTATCAAAATTAGTATTAAAGTTTTAAAGAATACACACATAAACAAGGATAGTATTCACAAAGAAACACAACAAACAGAGGTGGATAATCAGCAAATCATCTGTACAAAAGCTCAGTAAAGGCACGGCCAGTCTATGCCCTCGCTGCTCCGTGCAGGAGCGCCTAGCAGCCAAAACACACACAGCGAGGGGAATGCATACTGCAGAGATATTTATAACCTTGTACTATGAAATTTCACATGATAGAAGACTACAAAGCCATAAATATGATGTTAGACGTTATAGAAGAATATTTCATTACAGGGACAGGTGTTTACGATAAGCAAAAATACTGGACAGCATCAGAAAACATTTACAAAGCATTAACAGCGTTATTTGGGTGATGGATGGTTTCCTTTCTGCTCTTCTTTTTTCTTTCTGATGATTAGCATTTTCTAACATTTCTATCATCAAAATATGTACATGTTTAAATAAGAAATACAAAATAGAAACTATTTTTAAAATAGCGTTCAATCCTTTTTCATTTTGATACAAATACTCCAGGTTGAAGTTCACTGCTCTAATCTATCTTTACACTTAACTGACAATTTTTCTCCAACCTGCCACAAAAGCAGGCATAGTTTTTCATTCCTCTCCTGTAGCACCTCTCACTAGAAACACCTTTCTCCAAATACCCATGACCCCCGTTTTTTTAAAACTTGAATGAGCGTTGCCATATATGCGCGTTATGTTTCCTCTGTTAACTATATTTCTACCTGTAAAGTGCAGCTCTGTGTCCCTGGAAAGATGTATACGAGTTCCTTTTTTTCCTCTCCAGTATCCATCTATTCATAAAGTACAGATACATATTTCTCTTTGGTCATGTGAGTAGGGAAAGGTAGATATAGGGAACTGTGAGTAAACCAGATAGTTCCAGAAAAAATTGGGACTGTAAGGAGGCCAGGAAGGACCTAACAGCCCATCTGTGGTCACATACAGTAACCAGATGGAAAGAGAGTCCAGAGGTGTGTTATAAAATAACAGATTCACTAAAAATTCCATGAGGAGAGCCAGGAGAAGAAGCTCTGGATAACCGAACAAATTACAATGAGATGCAAGTGAGGCATAATGAGGTAAATAGAATATGAGAACCGATAGCCATGTCCAAGATTTGATCCACATGGAAGCAGAAAGCGGAGGTGGGGGAGGGGCGGGGAGGGGCAAAAGTGGGGAAAGGAGAAGTGGAAGAAATGGGGAGAGAGATGAAGGGAGGGAAGAGTGGAAAAGGTGGGTACTGTGTTTTGGTGTTTATATAAACCAGTCCTCTCTCCGTGTTATTGATGCCATTCGGCATCCTGGACAGGCTGTGTAAGCAGGGATAAAGTAAGGGAGGTTCTGGGGACATCGGTTTCAGTTGGCTACTATGGAAGAAGGCCTTGGAATGATTGAGAAATAGTCTTTTCAGTTGAATTTGATTTTTTCTAGAGCTTTAGGGGCTGGCATCAGTGCATCACTGAGCTCATGATTATTGGCCAAGGTTCAGCTCTCAGAAGGGTCTCCTTGAGGTCTCTGATGAGGAAGGCGCCTGGTCCAAAATGCTCAAGTAAAAGAACAGAGCACTATTCTTTCCTGAATGCCTACTGGGTACAGTCAAAATGGAAGGTTTTTTCCCCTGTACATTATCCTATTTAGCCTTCCCAAAACTGATGAAGTAAATACGATTATTACTCTTGCAGTAAAGATGAAACTGATTAAATGACTCAATTAGCCAAAAAGCAATGTTTGGGATTTAAACCTAGGATCACCAAAAACCCACACCACTTGGTTCCACCACATCAGGTACTAGTCAACGAACCAAGAGTCAGGACTCTCAGGTGGAGTAAATCTCTCAAGCGAAGAACAACGTTTGAGTTATGTGATTTCCAGTCTCCTCCAGTCTATAATTCTATGACTCTACTCAGGCGATCACTGGTAACCTCTAACATAAGGCACAGATATTAACTCCTGATGTGCTTCTCATGGGTCTTTCTGTAGGGGTTTGAGGTATAGCCAGCTATGCAGCCTGCATCTAAATTCCCCACTTTAACCTAAAGGATGCAATGACATCTGTGGGAGCACCTGGAATTTCTCAGGTGCCCCAGATTCAGTCACCAGTGACCACATCCAGCTATTCACGGTTTCACTTCCCCTTCCTTAACCATTTTGCCACAGATGGTCGCTGAGAATTCTCATCAGCACTATTTTAAAGCAAAGTGCCTACACAGAGGAAGTGGAGTTTTCCAATCCTTCTCAGAGATCTAGCTATAATTTCTAAAGGCTGGTCAGAATTTGAAAGTACACATTATAATATAGAGTAATATTTTATTTAAAAATATTAAAATATATGTCTATAGTATGAAGGGAGCATAGAAATTTAACTATGCAAGTGTTTTCCTTTAAGCATGATTAACAGTGATACGATTTCCATCCAATTTATGTTTCTAACTATGAATAGGATTTTAAAGATTTTCTCACTTTCTGACTACAGGCTCTAATGTTAAGACTAGATATTTATTAAGATATAATGCATCCTGTTTTTATCTAAAATTTTAAAATTTAATATACATGAGAGAAATATTGTAAAAAGTCGTCAATATAGTGATCATTTTGACAAAGCGAAATGTAAACATAAATGAAGATCATGAACCGGTTTTTCAAATTTGGCTCATAGCATCCCTTTATAACTTCTTCAAAGTGTTCATATGTGTCTACCTTTAGTTACCCATAGACCCAGGTGAGATTTCCAGATCCCAGCATCAATCTTGTTGAAGGACAAGTGTCTACATAACTGCCCCCGCTGGAATTATCAAGTGCTAAGATTATTTTCCATTGAGGAAGAGGGCAGAGAGAAGAACAATTACACCAAGGTGTCACGAAAATAAAAGTTAACTGAAAACAGGACAGAAAAGAGAAGGCCTCGGGAATATTCATGAATGTGAAAGGTCCCCTGAGGAGACATGAGCATTACCATGTTGTACCAGGAATTACGGCCAATCTTCATCATCACTGTGAGTAACAAGGTCACAGGAGGAACCATGATAAGGAGGACATACTTACTATTGCTCAGCTAAGTGCCTGGAACGCATGGTTCTCTGCCAAGTAAAAATCCAGAGACTCCACTAATACTGCAAATGAATCAGGGAAGCAAACGAAGTCAAATGTTTTGTTGGAGGGGCTAGAGATGGCCCTCCAGCAACACTATCAGTGATCAATTTATCTCAGTAACATGAGGTAGTATCAGAAAACGCATCTTAGGAGACATGCTGTGATCCACTGAGCAAAACAAGAGTATCCAGGTCTGGATAGAAGTAGCCTAAGCCTCAGTTTTTCATTTTTTTGTTAACAATTATGTAACATCTACATAAACAATAAGGAGGGTGGTATGCATTTGTAGTTTTTCACCTAAAGCAAAGTGCACTCTTAAAATAGAACTACTCCCAAGGAGTTTCACTTTACCTAAAGCCCACACAAACAAGAAA